CCCTTCCAAGCATGACGTCCCTCTCCAAGGACTGGTCCCTCCTTGCAACATGTCCAAAGTATGTCAGATGAAGGTTCAGAATCCTTGCCTCCAAGGAGCAGTCTGGTTTAACCTTCTCTAAGACAAACCTGTTTGTTCTCCTGGAAGTCCATGGTCTATTCAACACTCTTCTCCAGCACCACAGCTTGAAGGCATCAATTCCCTTCATAGCATCCCTAGTTATTGTCCAGCTCTCTGATTCATAGCAAGGAACTGCAAAGAGTATGGCCTGGATCAGGCATGCTTTAATTTCCAGACTGACATTATTGCTCTTCTGTTCTCTGGAGAGGTCACTGACAGCCAGCTTTCCCAGTGTAATTCACCTTTTGAATTCCTGGCTGCTGGTACCAAGAGTGATGACTGTGGAGCCAAGCAAACTAAAGCTGTTAACAACCTCAATCTCTTCACCATCCATCATAATGCTGCCAATCGACCCAGTGGTGAGAATCTTTGTTTTCTTGATGTTGAGCTTCAATCCATATTGAAGGCTGCAGTCCTTGACCTTCTGGAGCAAGAGCTTCAGGTCCTCCTCAGTTTCAGCAAGCAAAATTGCATCATCTGCATAACACAGGTTGTTGAGTACTCTACCTCCAATTCTGATGCCACATTTCTCCTCATATAGCCCAGCCTCTCAGATGATTTGTTCTGCATATAGATTGAAAAGGTATGCAGACAGGATACATCCTTAGCACACACCTTTTCTGATTTTAGACCATGTAGTATTTTTTTACTCTGTTCTGACGACTGCCTCCTGGTCCAAGTATAGGTTTTGCATAAGCACAGTCAAGTGTTCTGAGATTCCCATTCTTTTCAGAGTCAGCCATAGTTTGTTGTGATCCACACAGTTAAACTCATTTGCAAAGCCAATGAAACACAGATAGACATTCCTCTGATACTCTCTGCTTTCCGCCAAGATCCATCTAACATTAGCTATAATATCCCTGGTACCACAGCCTCTTCTTAACCCAGCCTGCACATCTGGAAGTTCTCTGTTGATGTGCTGCTCGAGTCATTTTTGGATATGTAGGATATTTTAAGGCACTCACTTTTGTTATTGTTGCTGAGAAGTGTTATTTTCTTTTTGGAAGAAATATGAATTCTGGAAAGTTATAATGAGAGACTTGTACACTTTAATTTTGACATAAATATTTTTTCACAAAGAATACCAAATATAAATAGTAGTGTAGCAAGAAAAAGAAACTAAGAGAAAGAATTATTCACTCAGTCATTTATTCACTGGCTGATATCAAAGCTGTCAATCATGTGGGAAGGGATTTTCTTTTCTTTTGCATCTTTCTCTCTCAGAGCTGCCGGTGGATTTGAACCACTAGAGTGGCACCTTCTTTGGGTTAACAGAACCAGCTCCCTACTGACTATGCTATCCAAGCTCCCTTTCTATTTAATCAGAAGTAATAACTAAGGCTACAATTTCAAATTGCTTCTACACTAAAAGAAGATAAAATACTGTTACCAGATTTTACAGCACCTAACTCTATTACTATTATGCTTTGTTCCTCTTCAGTATTAGTAAGACATGTGCTCCTCAAGGTTTATTCCACTCACCCTTTTGAGAATTTCCTTCTGTTATTTTAAGATGAATCAAAATAGCCTTCTATTGTCTTTTCTTCAGGGGGAATGGAGGAACTGCAAAGTATCTAAGCCATGTAAGTGTGCCAAAAAAGGCGGTAAGAGAAATTGTTCTGAAACACATTCCAGAGACTGCACTGGGGCTGGGCTGCTGGCTGATGGGGGTGCACGCCTGTGAGCTGGGCCAACACATAATGCTCTCAGGTGGGAAACCGGAAGCTGCTTAAGATAGGTGGGGTACCGAGTTTTCAGGGACCACACTCTCCAGCACCATCCTCATGAGCAAGTCCTTTCTCCTCCCCAGCCCCCTGCACGCTCGCTTCTGAGACAGAAAAGGAACAGATTAGCGCAGTTGGGGTAAGGTAGCAACAACATCACATAGAGATGGCAAAGAACAGATGCTGAAAAGATAAAGGTCTTTACCTAGAGCTGACAGAGAAAAAAAAAGCCTTCCTTCACAGCTATTGTACTGAATTCAGATTTCTTGCTTATAAAAAAAATTAAAAAAAAACTTTGCTGTTGAGTAGATTCTAACTCACTGTGACCATTGGAAAGCCACTGGAGGGTCAACCAGGAATAGATTCTAACTCTATAGCAATGAGAAAGAGAGAGAGAGAGAGAGAGAGAGAGAGACCCCCTGAAGGACAGACTGGAACTGCCCAGAGGATTTCCAAGACTGCCTTTGGAGGAGGAAGTTGCCTTTTGTTCTCCTATAGAGCAGGTGATGGGTTTGAACTGCTGACCTGTCAATTAGCAGCCTGGTGCTTTAATGACTGCACTCAGGGCCTGTCTAACTTCCTCAGTCATGAGAAAACACATTTTTGTTTGTTGAAGTTACCCACTTCTGGCATTTTCTGTCATCACAGCCCAAGATCATTAAGACAGGTGGGAAAGGAAGTGAGCGAATAGAAAAAGTGCATTACCGGTGACCTCATTTCATCCTCACCACAGCCTCTGGGTGTGTGAACAATACATCAGAGAGGGCAAGCGCCTCGTGCAAGATCACACAGCAACTAAGCAGAAAGCAATGTCCACACCACTTCCGAGGTGTTTGTGGAATCAACAGGACATTGTGGCTCTCTGAATGTTTTTCTTTAGATCTCTGAACTGCTTTCTCACTTAAATATATCTGCTTTAAAAATGAGACTTTATATTACTCCAATAAATGGAAAAATCACAGAATTCATGGGCTCGTTATGTATATTTTTATACTGTACATTAAAAGAAAATTTTCTCTATAAAAATGAAAAAGGTTCATCCATATATACAGTGTAAAATGAGCTCACACACTCAGTGGGGTGCTTCCGTTTCTTTGGGAAATGGCTCCAGACTGATTCTGGTTTTGTCAAATAATACTGTTAATCAGTGGCTGCCTTTTACTGTAGCATTGTAGCTATAATGGCTTCTCAGCTGGACCTAATTCAAATCTAGACTCCCTAGCTCCAACTCAGGACTTCACTGGTCCCTGCTTGGCTCATGCCCAGCCTGTTTACTCTTGCTGCCCCTGTATGGTGCCAAGTCCCCTCCCTCCTCAGGGCCTTTGCTCCTGCTGGTCCACCTGCCACTAAATAGACCCACTCCTGGACAGGCTGGAAGGATGTTCATTCAGGTCTCCACATCTCTTCCAAGAGGCTCCCCTGACCACGATGCCCACTTCATTTCCAAGTCTTGTTTATTTTCCCTCGCAGGGAAAATTATTGTTTAATTGAATTTAATTAATTATTTAATGAAATGTAATGTTTATTCTCCCTTGTTTGTATTTCCCTTGCTGCCCTCTGATGTCAAGGAAAGAAGGTGAAGTGTTTAGAAGTGTGGATGCCACAGCTGCACGGCATGGTTCCAAATCTTCCAGGCTAGAAGCCTTATGCTTACAAGGTCCCCCTCGGTGTCACAGGCAAATGAAAAAAAAAATTTTTTTTATCAAGTTTACCAAATGTTGTGGGTCCTGTGGGCCAATCCTGACAAGGAAGAGGAGGTTGAGGTCCTTTTCTAGCCCGTCCTGGGGCAGATCCTATGGGCTGTGGTAGGGTCCAATCCTAACTCCAGCATCTCTCGTGAGGGCGGGCCTTCGCGGCTGACTCTGCTCTGCTCTCTTTAGCACTTTCACATTGCAAGGGAGCTCAGTTTCTAGACAAAGCAGTCTTTTTTTTCTTTTTTCTTTTTTTCCAGGAATCCTGCAAAGGTTTCATGCTTCCTCCCTTTATTATGACATGAATATTTATCAGCTGAGAAGGGAATACAAAGCCCACTGTAGCTAGTGTAACAAAAAAAGCAGCAGCTGCTTAGCTGGCTCCTGACAATGCTAAGTGCGTCAGAGTACAGATTATGCTCCATAGAATTTCAGTGACTCTTTGGGGTTTTTTTTTTCCCCTCAGAAGGTGATCACCAGGCCTTTCTTCCAAGGCAACTCTGGGTGGATTTGAACTCCAACCTTTCAGCAGTCAAGCCAACTGAAAGATTACCACCCAAGGACTCCTAACTTGCTTAATATTCATGATTTATTACTGCCAACTTTCCACCCAATAAGAGGATGAGGGGAAATCTTTACCAGGGAATCCTGAGATCTATGAAGGAATGGGATGTCTCCCAGAAAACTGTGCACCTTTAATGACTCTGTCCCAGAAGGACCTAGCCCAGGGGCATGGCACAATTGTCTAGCAGTAAAGACTTGCTAAGTAAGGGGTCTCTCTTGGCTTGGAGCCATCCTCCCCTCATCAGCGCTCAAGGAGAGCATGCTTTTCTCTGAGGTTGAGCAGTAGAGGGGAAGACCGCCACTCCAAGGGGTGGGTTCTAGAACCAGCCAGTCAAATTCAAATCCCTATTCCTCCACTGACAGATCATGTGACCTCTCACAGTGCCTCAGTGACTTCATCTGTAATATGGGGATAATAGGAGCATCTCTCTCTCTGAAGAAGTTGTGGTGAAGGTCCCAGGAGTTAATCCAAGAATGTGGCTCGAATGATTCTTGACATGTGGGAAATAACTACAGAACCATCACCGTTTTTGCAGTCCAGGTCTAGCCAGAGCTGGAATTGAATCTGCCACCAGCATCCACAGCTGTCTGATTTCAAGGGAGACCCTTAGCGCTCTGGGCCTCTTTCTTCATTGGGAGGTGAGCTCAGCTCCATCCTTGCCTGAGGTTGGTGGTGGGCATTCCTGATGGGTGTGTGAGGTGCTGGATCCTGGCCCAGTGGACAGTGGTCCCCTGCACTGCACGGGTCTGCCATCCCTCAGAAGCACCCTCCGGGTGGTGGAATCCGGGCTGTGGCTCTGGTGGCAGCTCTGGCCCTCCCCCCCCCCCTTCCAGCCGCCCCGCCCCAGCTGTGACGACCTTGCCCCTGCTTGTCTAAGGGACAGGAAGGAAGTGAGGAGGGCAGCGGCAGCTTCCCCTTTTCAGTCCTGTTCCAGGCGCCAGGCTCCTTCCCCCGCAGAGTCTCGGAGGAGGGGACCACGGAGCCATGGCCTCCCGCACAGCTGCCATCCGCCAGACCTGCTGCTGCTTCAATGTTCGGACAGCCACCATCACCCTGGCCATCTATCATGTGGTAAGTGCCTAGCGTGCCCAGGGGCACTGCGTGTGTCTGTGTGAATGTGCGATTGTGTGTAATTGTGTGTGTGCGAGAGTGACTGTGAGTATATTTGGCGGTGTGTGTATAACTGTGATGGGTGTATGTGTGAGTGTGTGTGGGAGAAAGGGTGACATAGTTCTGGCCTACTGAGCCCCTCAAATGTGAAGATTGCCTTCAGAGGCCCCTGACACCCCTGCGCTGAGGGAATTTCCTCTGTTCAGTTGGGGCAGGGGTCTACCCCACTGCTGGCCCTGGTGCTACATGGTGGTGGGAGCAGGCACCCTCCTGGATCTCACCATTCACTCAGACCCCAGCGCCGACCTCTGTGAAATGGGGCGAGAGTGCAGGCGTGGGTTAGTGGGGAACAAGTGTAACATAACAGCAGGTGTGAGAAGCTTTGGAAGGCCAGGAGTCCAGACCTCGGGTTGTGCCAGGACATAGGGTCAGGTCACTGGCACAGCTACTGCTCTCCATGAGGGGCTGGACAGAACCCAAGAAGTGGGGCACGCCCCTCTGTCCTTCTAGCAGTGGGAAGGGACCCTGTCTTCTTAGTGTCCAGCTGGGTTCAACCACACTTTTTCTCCACCAAAGAAAGCTTGAGATCTTGTGGTCATAAGTAGGGTGAGCTGCCTAGTCCTTGCTGTTATGTGGTGACAGAGAGACATAATGTCCCCCGCAGTTCCTCCTTGGAGGCTAATGTGAAGGTTTTTCTTGCTGCTAATCCACCATGTAGCAGCTCTGGGCAAAGCACTGGTCCTCAGGGCGGCAGACTCCCCTCTCTGTGGGGTCGCTGAAGGCTGGGGTCCCTGTGTGTCTCATCCAGACTCTTCTGCCACTTTACCCTCCAACTCCAGGCTGCACCCAGCTCTCCCAGACTCTGGCACCTTTCTCCTAGGAAAACTCAAAGCCCGCAGTTCTAGCCTGGAAGGACTTCCTCAAAGTCAGCTCAAATCCAGCGTTGTATCAGCTGCTGTCAGCTGCGCCATCCTGGCTGCATCTGCTTCCTGTCTCGGGCAGGGAGAGCTGCGGTAAGGGCCATATGGCTCTGTGGTTATCTGCACGGCCTCTGGATCCAGACTCCTGCATGCAAATGCTGGCCTCACCACTTCCTAACTGTGCTGTCTTGGGCAAGCTGCTTACCCTCTCTGAGCCTCAATGTTCTTTTAAAAAGTGAGGATGAGAATAATAATACCTCCCTCATAAGCTTGTTATGAGGATTAAAGGAATTGACCAGGATAGTGTCTGGCACCTAGGGAGTGTCTTACCATTGTTGTTATGTGGAGCCAGCAGGCGTGGACTGGATCCTGGGCTGTGGCAGCAATGTGAACCTCGGTGGTCACCTCTGCCCCGCAGCTTGGTCTCCTGTGGCCTGGGACTGGTGGGCTGTCTCTGAGCACTTAGGAAGCTGGGTGTGCAATTCTTGGCATGCAGGCCATGCCCTGTCAGGGCTATGAGATATGAGGTGCCCACAGAGCAGGCACACAGTAGGGCTCTGTAGGTGTTGACTGAGGCCTGAGCAACTCAGGGGGCTGTGCTGCTTGGGGGGCGGGGGTGTTGTCATGATGTGACTAAAGCTGGTGTTGAGGAGTCAGGTTGAAGAGAGCACTAGACTTTTGGGGAGAGAGACACCCCAGAGTTCACCTGACATTGGGGAGCCGTTGTCAGCACTGCCTCTGTGGGCCCCACATGAGCCTTATCCCTCCTGTGTGGATGCCTGCTGGGAGCTTTCTCTCTGATCTCAAAACAGGAGTGGAGCTGAGATCAGGGGCCTCATCCTCACTGCTTTAGTATCTGAACTCCTCCCACCTGTTCCCAGTGACCCCGTCTGCAGCACCTCGAAATCGTAAGGTGCAGGGATCAGAGGAGCCAGGAGAGAGCAAAGCCGGGTGGTTCCTGTCTCCAGGAATCTGTACTCAGCGTATGTGCGTGCACATGTGAGTGTCCATATGGTGGCGTGCATGTGAGGCACATAACTGTGGGGGGTGTGTGATATATGGCTGTGTGTGGTGAATGTGCTGTGTGTCTTTATGTGGTATGTGTCACATGATGTGTACATGGGGTATATATCATATGTATGGACAGGCATAATGTGTCTTGTATGCTTGTGTTATGTGTGTATGTATGTGCTGTGTGCCTGCATGAGATATGTGCATGATGTGTGGTGTGTATATTGAACGTGATAATGTGTTGTGTGTTACATAGGTGTATGCATCACGTGCTTATACGTGTACTGTGTGATTGTGTGTGGTATGTGCACAACGTGGTGTGTGTGGGCATGACATGATAAAAAGGGGCAGAGATGGAAACTCCCATTTGGTGTCATCCTTTCACTAGCTGCCACAGGACAGGAGCCTGTGACAGGAGCGTGGTCAGGGGCTCGAAGAGGTGTATGGAGTCCCTGCTGGGTCCCCTGAGCACAAGGAAGCCCCCACACTTCCCTCGCTGTGGACCCAGACTTGGAACCAGGGCTCCCATGCCTGGGTCCAGCTGGTGGATCCAGAGGCCATTCTCAGAAGTTGCTCAAGGACCCTCTGCCCACTCTGCAAATTTTCCCTTCAAATCCTCATCACTTTTAAGGAAGAGTTCCGGGAGAGAGGTGCGGAACGTGGGACCACGCCGCACCAGGTCTATGGGGCAACATTCTCTGAGGCTGGGTTGGTGTGGGGCGCTAAGAGGCGCAGGCCCTGGCTTCTCCCCAGGTTTGCCAACATGGGCAAGCCTCTCTGTGGGCTCCATTCTCTCTGTTATATATATATATATAGTGTGTGGGTATGTACTGTCTAAATGGTCTCAAGTCCAAGTTCAAGTGCTTCCAGGCCCAGGCAAGTCTCGTAACTGAGCACAGGGGTCAAGTGACCAGGGGTCCCGTGATCAGTCACTCCTGACAGCTGCTCATTCCACTGACTGTCATTAACAAGGCAGTGGGCTCTGGGCTGCTCTCTTGACGTAGAGAGATAGGGATTTTAGTCTTTTATGTGGCATCTTCTGATGTTTTGATGTTAATGACAGATTGAAATTTTAAAAAATCAAAACAATGTACCATGTGCAGGCCCAGCTAAATCCTTGTGCAGGCTGCCTAGCTCAGCTGCCCTGCCTACCCTGCACCAAGAGACTCTAGAAGCTTCTTCAGGATCACACCTTCTGAGGTCTCTGCTAATAGAGCTAGAGAATGTGTAGCCAGAGTGATCAGGGAAGGCTTCTAGGAGGCGGTGTCATTGACAGAGGAGTGAGGCTGCGGGAGTACAGATGGGAGAGGATATGTGGGCAAAGAAGAAGTGTGCACAGAAATTGGGCCTCCCAGAAGACACTACAGAAAAAACCTGAAATTTTCAGGATAAAAAACTTTGAGAGAAAAGCTAGAGTTTGGATTTTACCTGTGATACACTATTGACATTTTGGGCACTTGGCTTTTAATAGAAAGCTTAGGGTTCAGAACATGCCCAGGAGCTCCATGGGAGATGGACTTGGTGATCTATTTCCATAAGGATTGCTTGTTGTTGTTAGATGCCCTCAAGTCGAGTACGACTCATAGCAACTCTATGAACAACAAACCTGAGCCCTGTCCTCTCCTGTGCCATCCTCACCATCTCTGTCTGACACACGTGAGCCAATTGCTGTCATCACTGCATCAATCCATTTTGTTGAGGATTGCCTTCTCTTTTGCTGTCCCTCCACCTTTCCAAGCATGATGTCCCTCTCCAAGGAATAGCCTCTCTTAACAACATGCCCAAATATGTGAGATGACATTTTGGCATCTTTGCCTCCATGGAGCTTGGTCTGTGCTTTCTCCAAGTTATATCTGTTTGTTGTTTTGTCCATGTGATATTGAGTCCTCTCCTCCAACACCACCACTCAAAGGCATCAATTCTTATTCTGTTATCCTTGTTCATTGTCCAGCTCTCAGATGCACAGCACGTGATTGAAAAGACCATTGACTTGAATTAGGCACACCTTAGTCTTTAAATTTACATCATTGCTCCTCAGGACTTTGGAGAGGTCCCTGATAGCAGACTTTCCCCAACCAGTACATCTCCTCCTGGTAACAAGGCCTCTGATTATGAACCAAATAAGAAAATTGTTGACAATGTCAATCTTTTCTCCATTATGGTGTTATTGCTTATTGGTCCAGTGGTGAGGATTTTTGTCTTCTTGACGTTGAGATGCAATCCATATTGGAGTCTTTGATCCTCTGAAGTAAGTGCTTCTCATCTGCATAACCCAGGCTGTTGATGAGTCTTCCTCCAATCCTGATGCCATGTTCTTTACAAAGTCTAGCTTCTCAAATATTTTGCTCAGTATACAAATTGAAGTTATACAAGTGTTCAGAGGTCTTTTGTTCATAGGGGCTTGAAGAGGTGTATGGAGTCCCTGCTGGGTCCCCTGAGCACAAGGAAGCCGTTGTCTATGGCTCGATGACACTTAACAACAACATCATACAAATTGGATAGTAACAGAGAAAGGATACAGCCTTAAGAATTACATGTGGGCTAGAAAGCTCAGGTGGTTCTACTATGTCACATGGGGTCGCAGCTGTGATACCAAACAACTACAATTACATTTTCTAGGGTAATCTTCATCTCCATCTTCAATGCCCTGTGCATCACAGGACGTTTAACATCTTTCACTATAGGACAGTAGCACTCCACTCTTGAATTGTGATGATTAAAAATGTCCCCAGGAGTCCCTCACAAGCTGTGGTGGTGTAATGTGTTATGCATTGCACTGTGAATCAAAAGTTCAGTGGTTCAAATCCACCAACTGCTTTGCCGGAGCAAAATGGCAGTCTCGTCCCATAAAAAGTTAAAGCCTGAGAAAGCAGATGGAGAGTCTCCGTGGGTTGAAATCAACTAGATGGCAGGGGGCGTTTGAGTTGCTGGGATTCCCTGGGTGGCTTAAATAGTTACTGTGCTCAGCTGCTAACTGTGAGGTGAGAGGTTCAAACCTCCCCAGAGGTACTTAAATAGAAAGGCCTGGCA